TTTTTATATATTTTTCTCGTTTTCTTATTTTTTTATTTATTTTTAATATGCTTTATTGACTAACATACAGTGTGTACAGTGTGCTCTAGGTTTTGTGGGTAGATTCCCATGATACATTGCTTGCATACAACACCCAGAGCTCATCCCAACAAGTACCCTCCTCAATGCCCACAACCCATTTTCCCCTCTCCCCTACCTCTCCCATCAACCTTCAGTTTGTTCTTTGTATTTAAGAGTATCATATGGTTTGCCTCACTCCCTGTTTGTAACTATTTTTTCCCCTTCCTTCCCCCATGGTCTTCTGTTAAGTTTCACGAGTTCCATATGAGTGAAAACATGATATTTGTCTCTCTGACTGACTGACTTACTTCACTTAGCATAATGTCCTCCAGTTCCATCCACCTTGCTGCAAATGGCAGGATTTCATTCTTTCTCATTGCCAAGTAGTATTCCATTGTATATATAAGCCACATCTTCTTTATCTATTCATCAGTTGATGGACATTTAGGCTCTTTCCATAATTTGGCTATTGCTGAAAGTGCTGCCATAAACATTGGAGTTAATGTGCCCCTATGAATCAGCACTTCTCTATCCTTTGGATAAATTCCAAGTAGTGCTATTGCTGGATCGTAGGATAGTCCTATTTTTAATTTTTTGAGGAACCCCCACACTTCTCCAGAGTGGCTGCACCAGTTTGCATTCCCACCAGCAGTGCAAGAGGGTTCCCATTTTTCCACATCCTTGCCAGCATCTGTTGTTTCCTGATTGGTTCATTTTGGCCACTCTGACTGGTATCTCAGTGTGGTTTTGATTTGTATTTCCCTGATGAGGAGCGACGCTGAGCATCTTTTCATGTGTCTATTGGCCATCTGGATGTCTTCTTTGGAAAAGTGTCTATTCATGTCTTCTGCCCATTTCTTCACTAGATTATTTGTTTTTCAGGTGTTGAAAATTTTGCATACTAACCCTTTATCTGATATGTCACCTGCAAATATCTTTTCCCATTCTGTTGGTTACTTTTTAGTATTATTGATTGTTTACTTTGCAATGCAGAAGCTTTTTATTTTGATCAGGTCCCAATAGTTCATTTTTGCTTTTAATTCCCTTGCCTTTGGAGATGTGTCGAGCAAGAAATCGCTGCGGTTGAGGTCAAAGA